CCCCCCCAAGTGCCACTGGCAGCCACCCCAAGCACAGCCCCAGCACAACCTTCTGCTGGAAAGAGCCCAGTGCTGCCCCAGCCTGCCCTCTCCCCATACACAGATCTGGGGGGCACATGTGCCCCATGGTTCTGTCGGGGGTGCACACAGTGGTGGCAGCACCCCCCACTGTGCCTGCTGGATGAGCCACTCGTGCTGCCCAGCCAGACTCTGCCCTTGCCCCTGCTCCACTCCCTCCCTTACCATGGGGGGCCTCAATCTGCCCCTTTCCTCCAACAGACTTCCCAGCCGGACGCTGCTCTCCAAGCTGCCGGGCTGCATATTGGCAATGGGATTGGAATCAGCCAATATAGCTCATTAATAATCAGCCTTCAGTATCAGCCCAAAAATCTTTGTTGGTGCACCCCTAGCCAGTATTACTGTAATCTAACTTGGGAGAAGTACATGGTTTCAGTGAAGTATGTTTTCTCTCCTTTTTCCCATTGTCTTAAGCATTTGATTGCAAGTGCTTTTGCCACGTGTGACTTACCTTGGTGTCAGCAGCCATGGAGTTTCCCTCCCTGTGGATGAAATCCTGTGTCTTCATTCCAAACCTGAACTAACAATATTTGTGCCCAAGATCTATGTGAAACTAATTAGAAGGGAAGGGAATGTGTCCTAAATGTGAGATCAGCCACATTCTTGGTTGCAACTGTCAGGCTGCAGTCATAGCTACAGTCTTTATGTGCCTTTTAGGCAAAAGCTTTGGCCAATGGAGCTGTGCACCTTCTGCCTGTGTCCTTGGCATGCTGTCTCCAGGAACTTGCAGAATACTGTTACTGATCAGCATTTTGTGATCTACTGTATGCATACAGAGCAGCAGGGGGGGTTTGTTAGCTCATGGTGGCTCTTTTGCTTTGCAGTCCTGGAAGGGAGGTTGTTTGCCCTTTTAGAGGGGTGATGTTTGCGTCCTTCCGTCGCCTTTACCTGTCTGGCTCTCTTTCTCATAACCCTTTGTTCAGGCAAAAAACAGAATTGGCTTTATTACCTCTATGTAGTAGAGCAACATTTGAAACAAGCTCTTATTGACAAATGGTGAGACTTACTAAAAGTGTCAGGGTGTTTTTGACAGCTAAAATATTGTGGCTATTTCTAACAAAACGTTATCCTTTTATTTAGAGCACTTATCAGCCAGAGAAAATGTCTGTTTGCAAAGGAGTGATGCAGTGAGCATTTGCTCAGCATCCTTATGTTTGAGTGTATGTGCAAACATTTATTTCATTTTCTCTCTGTTCATGTGGTAAGGAGAATATACACAGAGCAACTTATTCAGTCATCAAAATTAATAAACTGTTGAATAAATATTGTGCAGTGGTAGTTCATGGCTGTTGAAGCTACCCTTCACATGTTTGGTAACAGCCTGCTGGTAGGCAAGATACTACTGTGCTGCCAACGTACCTTTTCTCCCACTCCAGCGACTCCTGCAGTTCATCTGCTGGCTGCATGCTCAGTCACATGCTATCAACTTTCTTCATGCTTAGCTTCTTGTAGGGAGAAGCAGGGTTTACTAACCCATTACTTACAATTTCCCAAGCAGGTCACAAGTGGGTAGAAAAATTACCCCCTTGGTTTTTTTTTTTTAGCATCCTGCTTGCATCTCCATCATCTGTCTGCCTGCTTTCCCTAGGGGCTTTCTCCCTACCACCAGAACTCATTCTGCCCCTATTGGCTAAGCAGAGGCTCAGAACTGCACTTGACTTATCCTCAGCTGAAGGAAGCAGGGCTGATTCTGGAGAGGTATATTCTGATCAGAGGGATAAGAAGAGAGAGAAATCCCAACAGTTGGTTTCCATCTTGCCACTAGAAGCCACCATCTTCCTGTTAATCTGGGGGAGGTCACCCAAGGGTGTTTTTCTCTAATGATTAGCTGTGTTTGTTGTTAGAAGTGTAAT